GCCTGGCGCTGTACACAGGAAGAAAGCGCCAGGTCCAGACATACACAGACGAAGAGGAAGGAATCAGACGAAAGGAGGGAGAGAGATGGGGATGTGGTCAACACCAAGTCTTTGTCACCAATCCCAAATAATCCCTCGTTGCCATGTCTGAAGTCCCCAAAAGTCGAGTCTGGATCCGATGTCACCAAGCTCTGTCTCTCTTCTCTTGTAGTCTGCAGATGCAGTGAAGTCAGATGTTGAGAGGGGGAGAAGGAGATGGTGGACTGAGAAGAGGAAGAAGAACTCTCTCTCACTATTACGAGCCAGATGCTGACCTGTGGTATTGGCGCTGTGCTGCAGGTACCTTGAAGACGAAGCTGGAGCAACGGCGCTGCAGGTAAGTGCCTCCGGCCTCCGCCCAATCTCTCTCTCTCTCTAGTACTATCTAGCTATGGCGCCCAGCGCTGGAGACTACAGCTACCTACTGCGCCCAGCGCTGAAGACTACAAGCTAACGCTACTACTACTCTGCAGCGCTCCCTCCAGAGTGCTGCTTCCGAATCCTGAAGACTACAACTGCCCCCTGCCTGTAGGGCGGGCCAGTCTTATATAGTGCTGGCTCGTCCAGGGGGCTGCTCTTGCCAATGCCCAAACGTGCTAGACCCTGAGGAAGCTTCCGGGAAGTTTCCAGGTAGCTTCTGGCTGAAGCCTGAGGAAGCTTCCGGAAAGTTCCCAGGTAGCTTCTGCCTAAAGCCTGAGGCCCTATAGGCCCTTGTTTTCAGGCTGTCAGGCTGAAATGCCATGGGGCCTGTAAGCCCTGGATTTCAGGCTTTCGGGCTGAAACAGACACGGGGCCTGTAAGCCCTGGATTTCAGGCTTTCAGCCTGAAACAGCCACGCGGCCTGTAAGCCCTGGATTTCAGGCTTTCGGCCTGAAATTCAGGCTTTCAGCCTGAAGGACGCAGGGCCTGGAAAATGGCCCGCATGTGCAGGCGCAGCATGCAACAGAGAGAGGCCACTGTAATGAAGCCTGCAGATTCTCAGTGGACTGTACATTCGAATAGCAGGCCTGGGCTACCACTAGGATGGACAGGCCCTAAAGGCCTATGCCAATAGACGGTCCTATAGCCTATAGCCGGGTAGGAAATAGGCCGAGAGGCCGAAACTGAAACGGTACCGGTGGGTCCAGTCAGTCAGATCTAGGTCTAGGCTACGGTAGTGTAGTCTATAGATAGATGGTAGACGTCGGTTCAGGGCTTTTGGCAGTTGGTACCGTGGAGATCGCTGCTGTGCAACGCGTGAACTGGAAGTTGTAACAGCTCAGCGTTGAGGGAGACAGCCATAACTGGACCTTCAGAGTGTCGGCCTTAGTTGGGACCTGCGCTGTACTCTGACAGCACGTGGGGCTGTTCAGAGGTCCAGGCTATGCGAAGTCTGCAGGAGGCAGAAGGAGTTGGTGCCCTGCTGAACCCTCGTCAGGAGTAGGGTTACAGGGTGTGTGGCGCTGCAGCCATAGCTGCAGCTTCTTCTCAGAGATCATCTTGTCAGGAGAGGTGGCGCTGCTGTAGACTTCCACCCTGGAAGTCATCCGGCACTTCATCATCATCAGACACTGTGGCGCTGGTCTTCTTCTTCATCCTCTGAGGAGCGCTTGGCCTCAGAGGCCTGTTTCAGGGTGGCGCTTCCCTCAGGAGGCTGTATTTGGGTGGCGCTTGATGTTTCAGGGGCTCAGGGGTGTTACGGGTGTTAATCAGGGTTGGGGAGTGAAGCGCTGCTCATTTCTGAGCAGCACACCATAGTTCTGGGGTTATTCTGACAATTCGAGACTAATAAACAGTGTTGATACTGGGTTTGGACTATCATTGCTTCATTGTTTCCTGGATGTGATCTACTTGGCTTTCCTTCATGACTGGTTGTGAGGATTGTGTGGAGTGAATTGCAGTTTCAGTGTACCCTGTCATATCGCATGGTCAAGTCTTCCGCTGTGTTTATCTTTCCCTGTGCGGTGTGATACTCCTATCCTCTCCCCTTCCTTCTGTGTATGTATGGGCATACCTGGGAGTCTATGTGAGTGAGTGTTGGTCTTCAGACAACAGACAACCAGAATCATAACACCACACTTGGACCTGTGTGTGTGTGTGTGTGAGAGAGAGAGAGAGAGAGAGGCCACACTTGGACCTGTGTGTGTGTGTGTGTGTGTGTGTGTGTGTGTGTGTGTGTGTGTGTGTGTGAGAGAGAGAGAGAGAGAGATAGAGGCCACACTTGGACCTCTGTGTGAGTGTGTGTGAGTGTGTGTGTGTGTGTGTGTGTGTGTGTGAGAGAGAGAGAGAGTGTGTGTGTGAGAGAGAGGAAGAGAGAGAGAGGAAGAGAGAGAGAGAGAGAGAGAGGTGGGCCACACTGAAACCCGCACTTGAACGCACACTTGAAGCCTCGATAAACCCAAATTATGAACCGGCTTTGACCCCACAGTCAAACCCACACTTGAACCCGTACTGAACCCAAGTTATGAACCCACTCTTGAAGCCAGCAAGTAACTGTGGTAACAGTGAGAGATGGTTAATGGAAGACCCAAAATTCGGGGTTTTTCGCCGCATCACTACAAGCAATGTCGTCGAAAATTTTGCGAACAAACTATGGAAGCGTATAATACAAACACCAAAACAACAAACAGGCAAAAAAAAACGAAAAAAAAAAAACTCAAAAGCACTATAAAACCCTATTCGGAGTAGCTTTCGGAGTTCGCCAAAACTTTTCCCGAATTCGGTGTTTTTGCCAACTTTTTTGTTATTGGTCCAAATACGTTGAAACTGAATACAGATATACCCTAAAGGACATACATGTCAGACAAAAGACAAAAACAAGAAAAAAGTGGCAGTTTCGGTGAAAAATTCGCCGAAAATGACACCACCTATTAACCACGACTGGTAACAGTGGGACAGTGGGAACAGTGGGGAGAGTCGGGCAACAGAAGAGTGGGAACAGTGGAGAGTCAGACAGCAGAAGAATGGGAACGGTAGGAACATGGGGGCCAGTGAGACAGTGGGGTAGTGGTACAACATCAATGAGTCTTCACGAACCAGTGAGACAGTGGGGTAGTGGGACAACATCATTGAGTCTTCAATGGATCTCTTCAATTTTCCTGTATTTCATTTGAGTTTATCAGCCTTCAAACTTATGCTCCGTTAACCAAGAGTTACATGTGTGCCGTGTGCAATGTACATACTACATACCATTCAGTGGAATTCCAGTCGCAAAGACTCGCAATTTGTTTTTTGTTTTTTTTGTAGTTCAGCCAGAAATTTCAGGCCTCTTAGTCTCTGCCCGTTCTTTTCAGGGGTCAGTAATGATGTAAGCCCAGACAATATTTATTTTTTCACCCTTTCCCTCCCTCTGTTTGTTTCTGTGGAAAAGGGCCGCGGCAAGGTCCGCCCTACTACTGTCTTCACCCGAATAGAACGCCTGGTCATTATCGCTGTGTGTAGACTGAAAGTTGCACCAAATACGGCTATAATGGCAGGGCGTTCTATTCCGGTGAAGACGGTAGACGAAAATGGCTGGTGGTCCCCTCCTCGTCAGCAATAGTTTGGAAGATTATGCACCAGCCAGCAAAGGTGTGCATCAGAATAAACTTCAATAAAGAGGCTGGAAGCAGTGGAAGGTACTGGTTTAGGAAGTTTAGGGTTTAGAACTTCAAAAAAAAAGCACCGTTAGTATGCCTGAGTTTATTTTGCCCGATGGTAGGTCTTGCCCTGGCAACATGGGCTTGGGCCTACAAGGGCTCGAACTAATTGGTCCGGCACGTGGAACCTGACTGACTCCGGCCCAAGGAAGCTGGTCAGCGCCCAGCAGGCCGAATCTCACCCTGATCTGGCAGGCCTCACCTGATCCCGTTCCCGTAGGCCAAAGCTGACCCCGTCTGCATGTTAACCCACATAAGGCGTTTTTTTTTTTTTTTTTTTTTTTTTTTTTTTTTTTTTTTTTTTTTTTCGAGGCAGTATCCAGGTTGCGGCATGCTGGTGGTGCATTAGTGTCGTAAGGTTGTTTTGGGGGTCCCTTCACAGTTCCAACCCCGTTTGCGAGTGCATTTTATTCGACTGAGCGAGCCTTTCCCACCGGCGTTATTCCTGGATGCATCATAATAACGGCCATATTTCCGGATGCATCTGACCATCATCACGTTAGAAATGCGGTGAAAACAAAAGGCCGGAGACTTAAAATTTTGCGGGCATCTTTTTGTTAGAAGTTATAACTCAACCTCTTTCTTGGGTCTGTGTAGCTGACACTTGTCAGGCAACTAAACTATGGGTGTGCAGGTACCGGAGGCACCGGTTGCTCTTTCTGTCCGTGTTCATGGCTGTAATTTGGTCCTGTGAATCTGTGCGTTGCTATTGTAATGATGATGTAAGTTGTACCAACTCCCACCTCTTCCCACCCCCGCACCATCCTGCCTTCTCCACTACTGTCTTGTCCATCACTGTGCTCCCTTCCCCTCGATCGTGCTTGCCTCTTCCGCTTCCCCTATGCCTCCTCCTCCTCCTCCTCCTCCCTCTCCTCCTCCTTCTCCTCCTCCTCCTCCTCCTCCTCATCTTTAATAATTGAAGAGGCAGCAGAAATTCTGACACAGGGACTGTTTTTCCCCAATTTTTCTCCTTTTGGTTTTCCCGTTTCCAACCTGAACCAGAGAAATTTCCCATCATTGTTTGTAATTTGTTACCCTCTCCCTCTCCTGGACTACATCCTATCCAGGTACATCCTGTAATGGGTTATATCGGAACAATGGAGCCCTTCAGGTACCACCAAGGGATTTTGGCCTTGCTGGGAAGCCCAAGTCTACCATCTTCACCCGAATAGAACGCCCAGTCATTGTCGCCGTATCTAGTCCGAAAGTTGCACCAAATACAGCTACAATGACCGGGCATTCTATTCGGGTGGAGACGGACCTCGGGTTTGCACCATGAGTACCATAAGAAACCATCCTTCGGGACATCCGTTAAAATTGGAACGGTACGGAGAAGGGTAATTGGCAAATTACTAATTAGCATTGCCCCTGCGCACGGATGACTCACATAAATCGAGAAATGATCCCAGAAAGTTAAAAAAAGTTCAAAAAACCCAAAAGTTGAAAAAGCCAGATTTAACGGAAGAAAAAAACCCTCCTCTGCTAAAGACATACTCACATCCGGGACTTTTCTGGATGCATCTGTCGTCGGTCGAAAAAGTTGCAGCGCGAGAATGACCTAATTCCACCCGGCGTGTGTGTCGCAAATCGTCTCAGATGGAGTTAAGGACACAAACAGATGCTTTTGGACTTTTCTCAGGAGCCTCCTAAGTTTCCTCCAGTCTTCAAATCGAATGCGGCTATTTTTTTTCCTTAAACAGCTGAAATGGCTGAGCTGAACCTTTTTTTTTTTTTTTTTTTTTTCCCATAAAACCCTCATCTCGTCAGTGTTAGAGGTGCTGATACGAGCAGACACCGCTAGCACCGGAGGAGGGGCTCCATCTATTGGTGGGGAGCATCACCTGCTGGAAAACGGGTCCAGTGTCCCTTATTCAGAGTGGCTAAACAAAATACATGGGATCATAGTTTGAGAGGGTTCCTACCAGCATTGATTGCCCTGAACCTAAGGGGTGCTTGATGCCATCTTCGCCCAAATATAACACCCGGTCATTATAGCTTGTAGTTGGGGCAACTTTCAGTCTAAATACACAGTGATAATGACCGGGTGCATTTTTTTTTATAATTATAATAGTTCTTTTAAGGGGCAACGACCGTGACATATCATCATGGAACTGACTGCCCCAGGTAATTAAGGAATTTTCATTCATCGAGATTCATCTGGATTCGGAAAAAAAGAAAAAAGAAAAAAAGAAAAAAAAAAGAGATTCATGATTCATCTGGATTTGAACTCAGGTCCAGCATTTCAACAGTCCGTGGGTGTACCAACTGAGCTAGGGGCATTGGCTATGACCGGGTGTTCTATACGGGTGAAGACGGTAGTCTGAGATACAGTCCAACAATCTTTAAGGCCCAGTACATGGCCCCAGCCAAGTTGGGAGTGCGATTGAGCCCCTCCTAAAATTTCGGAGGCTTGCGCGGCGTCGGTAAAATATATCTACAGCAGGCGGTCTCCGAAATGGCCCCGCGGCCGATGGCTGGCATTTACTGGTGAATTAACAGACCAGAAGAGTCGATGACATCTTTCGGGTGTTGTTCCGTTTTTGTTTCCGTTCTGTCCCTTACCACCGTAGCGTCGAAGCTTCAGTCTTTGTTTTGCATTTGGCTACTCAGTTACTGTGCAGCAACTACTCTGTTACTATGCAGTAACTACTCAGTTACTATGCACTAACGACGCAGTTACAGTGCAGTAACTACTTAGTTACTGTCAAGTAGACTTCAGTCTCGTAGCATCAGGTGTGCTGATCAGTGCTAAACTTCATTCTCTGTTCCTCCTTTTGCTACCCAGTTTACTGTGTATTGTTTGTTCAGTTACGGTGCAGTAACTATTGAGTTACGGTGCAGTAACTACTCAGTTACAGTGCAGTAAGTACTCCGTTACGGTGGAGTAACTGCGCAGTTACCGTCAAGCAAACTTCACTCTCGTAGCGTCAGGTGTGCTGATGAGTGCTCAACTTCAGTCTTTGTTCCTCCTGTTGCTACTCAGTTACTATGCAGTAACTACTCAGTTACTGTCAAGTGACCACTCAGGTACTGTCAAGTAAACTTCAGTCTTGTAGCGTCAGGTGTGCTGACGAGTGCTAACCTTCAGTCTTTGTTCCTCCTTTTCCTACTCGGTTACTTTGCAGTAACTACTATTGAGTTACGGTGCAGTAACTACTCAGTTACTGTCAAGTAACCACTCAGTTACTGTCAAGTAAACTTCGGTCTCGTAGCGTCAGGTGTGCTGACGAGTGCTAAACTGCAGTCTTTGTTCCTCCTTTTCCTACTCGGTTACTNGTAGCGTCAGGTGTGCTGACGAGTGCTAAACTGCAGTCTTTGTTCCTCCTTTTCCTACTCGGTTACTGTCCAGTAAAGTAACTGCTCAGTTACTATGCAGTAACTACTCAGTTACTGTGCATTAATTATTCAGCTACGGTGCAGTAACTGCGCAGTTACTGTCAAGTAACCCACACAGTTACTGTCAAGTGAACTTCAGTCTTTAGTGGCTCCTTTCAGTGACTGTATGGCAGTTACTGGTTTCCCCCTCTCGGTAACAAAGTGTTTGCTTTGGCAGTTGCCGGTTCGGTTCCATACACTGAGTTCCAACTAACAGGCCGACTGGTTGCTCGGCAATGACAACCTGAGACATTCCTTTTGCTAAACGCGTATGATAACTCCTGCTGTAACTCCCGCTGTAACTCCTGCTGTAACTTCAGCAGTAACTCCAGCAGTAACTCCAGCAGTAACTCCAGCAGCAACTCCAGTAGTAAGTAACTGCATCGAGTAACAGCAGTGAGTAACAGCAGTGAGTCTTGCAGTAACTGACTAGGTGCAGTAAGTAACTGCAGTAAGTCTTGCAGCGACTGCAGTAACTCCTGGGATAGCTAAGTGCACTAAGTATCTACAGGGAGTAACAGCTGTAAGTCTTGCAGTAACTGACTGCAGTAACTCCTGGGATAACTGAGTGCAGTAACTCCTGCAGTAGATTGTGCCGTAACTCCTCCAGAGCTCCCGCAGTGATACTGCAGTAACTCCCGCAGCAACTCCTTCAAAGTTTTAAACAGTTTTTTTTGGATATTGTAAAGTGAAAACAGGAAAAAGAGTTGTGGATATCATTTATTCCAATAGGTTGTGGTCCACAATATAGATAGACAAAGAGGTAAGTCTGCTATAGGTATTAATAGACCAAAAGAGGCAAGTCTGCTATAGCTATGCAATGAACCCAGTCAGGTGGAAAGCTCAACAATAACGAAGCACAGAATGTCTCAGCGCAGTTGCAATGTCTCTGTGATCCAGTGATCCAGTGTATCGTGACCAGAGAAAAAGCAGATGGGAGGGAAAAAGCAGATGGGAGGGGGATTAGAATTAGAGGGTGGAAGAGAAAGTACCCATCAGCTTAGCAGATAGAACTCCCTCACAAGCCCACTCCTCCTTTGGGCAACCCCTACTCGTCACGTCAGCAGAGAGTATCGTCTGGCACGCTCTGACAATGAACAGATCTCGTCAAGGTGCACACGGCGCAGTCTTCTCTGAAGACAATCAGCAATGCGCAATGTCGACACAAACACAGACAGGTAAGCTTTCCTCACATTCGACCAATCTCACAGCCCTGGTCCTCCTCCTCCTCCTCGCCAGTAACCCATCAATGTAGTAGACAGTGTGGCGAGAGCCACGTCAGCATAGTCAGGAATCCAGCTGGCGCCGTAGACAGAGGAAGGCGCCAGCCCAAATCAGCAGCAGTCTCACGTCATCGTCCCATATCAAGCTAGCGTAGAGCCAGCGACGAGCCAGCGTGGTGCCAGCGTCGAGCCAGAAAGACTGAATGTCGGTCAGCAGGGGCTGGGTCAACATATAGCGTTGACTCTGGTTGACCAGCCTCTGGTCTCTCAGATGCGATGGTGCAGATTTACTCGCGGCCAATGGCCTGGATCCCATACAGTTGCAGATTTCGATTTGTACTTGATTCTTCGTAGATACCTGCAAACAGCCAAGTGTGTGTGCCTGATCGGTGGCTTTGGCTGGATCCATGTTGGCTTTGACTCGTGAGCCCGAATTTCCGAGCTGCTGTTGACCTTTGACTTTCTACGGTCACCTGTCGCACGTTGGGCCTCTGGAGCCCTGTTTTAGGCCTTGCTTCAGGTACCCACAGTAGAAGGCCTTTGTACCCACAGTAGCAGGCCTCTGTTTCGGCGATTTCATGACTTGGGCTTTGGCGTTGACCCCTGTTTCGGCCCTTAAACCGAAATGACGACCCATGGCCCACGACTATTGCATGATTTGAGCTGAGTTATTACAGCTATTGATAGTCTACTGAATCAGAAGAGTAACTCCTCCTCTAACTCCTGCAGTAACTGAGTACATTGTCACTCACAGAGATCATGGAGACGTTAACTTGGTAGCATCTGATTTTAACTGACAGTTCCCTTCCGTTTGCCGGCTGTCACTCAAACGGACTCGGAGCTCTGGCAATGACACAACGGTCAGCCACCGAGTTGTCGACTTAGAGGTGCTTGGACTGTGTAACTAACTCCCTCCCTCTTCCTCTTGAGTGTGTCGATTTACTGACAGCTTACGTCGTTGCAAGGAACCCGACTGTTTATCACTTGCTGGAGTGCATCAGATCACATGCATTTACATCGATTTCCACAGACTGCGAAGTCTTACACAAAACCCAATTAGAAGATGAACGAGAACCAGGAAGCTCAACTCAATTAACAAACCCAGGTTTAGAGAGAGAACATCA